AGAGCCATATAAACGGGTCTCCAGGGCCAGAGGGACGGCACATCCTGGGCCTGTGGCGTGGTGTGGGCCTGGGAGGATGGGCAGCCTGCTGCTGGCTGTGCTGCTGGCTTCGGCCTCTGTGCCCAGGGCCCAGGCTGTGTGTTGGGGAGACTGGACCCTAAGCAGGTACAGTCTCCTGGGGGTGGGGAATGCTGGTCCTTGAGGGCCGGTTCCTCCTTTAAGGCCACACAACTTCTGGGTCCCCTAAGACCCGCCCAGACCAGCATGGGCAGTGGGGGATGGGATGGGCTGGCCCTGCAGCTCCCAAAGGTAGGAGCCTCAGGCCAGGAGGGCTGGGGGCTGCAAGGCTGGAAGGCTGGAGGGTGGGAGGATTGGAGGCTGGAGGGAGGCTGGAGGCTGGTGGCCCTCACCTGAGCGGCCTCAATGCAGCTTCTTGGGCCCTGGTACGTGCTTGCTGTGGCCTCCCGGGAAAAGAGTTTTGCAGTGGAGAAGGACATGAAGAATGTCGCGGGGGTGGTAGTGACCCTCACTCCAGAAAACACTTGCGAATGCTGTCCTCTGAGGCAGGGGTGAGTGGGGGGGGGGTCCTCTGAGCAGGGGCGAGTTGGGGCGGGGTCCTCTGAGCAGGGCGAGCGGGGCAGGTCCTCAGCAGAAGGTGAGTGGGGAGTGTCCTCTGAGCAGGGGTGAGTGGGGTGGGTACTCAGCAGAAGTGAGTGGGGAGTGTCCTCTGAGCAGGGGTGTGAGTGGGGCGGGGTCCTCTGAGCAGGGGTGAGTGGGGCGGCTCCTCAGCAGAAAGTGAGTGGGGAGTGTCCTCTGAGCAGGGGTGAGTGGGGCAGGTTACTCAGCAGAAGTGAGTGGGGAGCATCCTCTGAGCATCGGTGAGTGGGGCGGGTCCCCAGCAGTGTGTGAGTGGGAGCGAGTTGCCTCTAGCAGCGGAGTGTGGGACGCGTCCTCGCAGCAGGGGCGTATGTAGGAGTGTGTCCTGTGGGAGCCTTCCGTCATGGCTGCCTGTGGCGCAGCAGACGCTCCGCACACACTTGCACCGCGGCTGGGGGCTGCCCACCGGCCCACCGTCTGCCGCTCCACCTCACTCCTCACCTGCTCGCACCTGCGGGGCAGCCACACAGCACCCTCTACGCCCAGCTCTCTCTGTCCCTAGGGGCTGCCTAGCGGTGGGACTCCTGCCTCTCCGCCTCGGCCAGGCACCGCGCCGACCGCCATCCTTGAGCGTCCCCGGCCAGGTCATCTGGGCTGCAGGCCGGGATTCACAGCAGGGAACCTGTTCTCTGAGGAGCCTTTTCCGGTGATTCTGTGAAGGCGGGTGATGCTTCAGGCCATGGGTGTGTGAAACCACTGGTTCTTGAGGGCATCAAATAC